GAGCCCGATGCGGGGCTCGATCCCAGGACCCTGGGATCATGACCTGAGCCGAAGGCAGACGCTTAACGACTGAGCCACCCAGGCGCCCCATATTCAAACTTATCTTGGTTACTCTTCCCCCTTGTGAATAATAAACTTAAATCACAGAAGCCAAATGCTGAAGGTTAGTCCTTGACCTAGTCTAAACTAGATCTCTGAATGTAGGCCTTGCCATTAATGTCTAGGTCAGAGGTGTATGTGTGCTCTTTCCTAGGGAGAGTGTCCACAGCTTTTTGTCAGATTCTTAAATGAGTCTATGACTAAAATTGTTGATAAGCAGAAGTTCAAGTATCAGTGGGGAGCAGAGTTTGGGACAGTGTGAAGTGTGGGTCCCTTACCTTTCACCCCAGTCCGGTAGGTATGCTGAACATATTTCAGGCCCGACACAATATCCCTGTTCACCTGTAGGTGGGAAGGATCCAAGCAATTCAGATTAAAAGCAGCCTTTCATTTTCCCTTATCCTTCATGCTTATCCTATCTAGCTGAGTCTCCTTTGAGTTCTTCTTTGAGGATGAAAGAAGGTTAAGATTTAATTCAGAATAAGTATTATCATTTAGTGTGGGTGGCGAGGCAGAGATTAGAAAGAGGCGATCGTAAGATTCAACATTGCCAACCTGGTTTTAATCATCGAATACTGTGCTGTTCGGTTGGGGGCAGTGCTACTTAAGTAAAACACTGTCTCAATGTTCTTCATTACATTTCGCCTTCCTCTAAAGGTCCAAAGAATGGTCTTGAGCTCCCCCTGCCTGAAACTATTGGCCAGAAGACAGTCCTTGTCTTAGGAAAGGCTACAAAGGTGCCAATGGAAATTGTTATGTGAGGACCTGAAAACCCTAACCTCAGAAATGATCCACCTAGCATGAAAAACAAACAACAAGGAGAAAAGCTGTCATGGAAAATCAATCAGGTCTGGAAGAGGGTTGTGCCCGTAACGTCGCTGAGATTGGAGTCTGAAGATGAGGAGCTTCTGCCCCACAGAAACATCCTCCCCGCATAAAAATAATGGGCGAAATCCACTTGTGTCTGGCAAGCACTGTGGAGGTCTCTTCTTTTCAGATGTTGTCTGAGATGTCACCACTTCCCCAAGCCTTTCAAAGCAAGGTCACTAAAGCGGGATGAAAATATACACAGCCCAAGCACTTTGTTTTTCCATGATTCATTTTGCCTAGGCCTGACCTGCGCTGTCCATTAGTTTTCTTCAGGGCTCGTGTTTATACAATCAAAGCGAACGTTGCGTCAGTAGTTGGACAGCCTGCTGAATTGTTCGCCAAGATGAAGAATGAAAGCATCTTCACATAATTTCGCCCCATGGTAATTATGGCTGCCTTTTTGTTTTGGACAGAGTGATTAAACCCATTTATCAGTGCGACATTCTGCTGTGTGGGCGACGAGGAGTCACAGCTGTGAACACCACCAGCTTAGGTTTCAGACTGTCACTCGGTAAAATCTATGGTATGGATCTATCAAAAGCAGACAGAATGCAAACAGCCTCATGGAAGAAATTGTGTGAAAATGACACCCGAACTTTCTGATTACTCTGCCAGATGTGGCTCATGCAAGTAGAAAAAAGTGAATGCCTTTTTCTGGAAGTCTCTAAGCTCGTCCTTTGGGCCTCGTGGGAGATGTGGTCTGGTGGCAAAAAGTCTGAAAAACGGGAATGGTGAGTGCTGCTCAGCAATAAGGACTTCAAATCAGAGTCCCTTGTTTTTTCTACTGCTCCACAGAGGGTTCATTTTATTTATTTATTTATTTTTTAGAGAAGGGGGAGGGGCCGAGGGAGAGGGAGAGAAGCTTAAGCATGCTCCATGCCCAGCCTGGGGCCCAACGTGGGGCTCGGCCTCAGGACCCTGAGATCCTGACCTGAGCTGAAATCAAGAGTGGGATGCTTAACCAACTGAGCCACCCAGTGCCCTGAGGGTTCATTTAATATAAATATGTTTGAGATGGGTAAGAGAAAAATATGAATATTCATCATATTCTCTTCCTCCATCTGCACGCTTCTCCCCGTCACTCCCCCTCACCCCAGGAGGAAAAAACCTGGGTGACATGAGAGCTGTGAAAGTCAAAGATACTACATTTCCTTGGGAGGCAGAAGGAAAAGGCGAAGAAACTAAAGGAACCATCCCAAACCAGGTTTTGGAGAGAGCCATGACGCTCTCTCCAAAAGCAGGGGGGTGGGGAGCGGGGTGTTGGAGAAAGAGAAGAACACGGAGTGCAATTAAGAGAGAGATAACGCAAGAGGATTTTAGGATCTGTTGCTGGTGTTATAAATGCAAACTTTCTTGGGTATTTTTCAACAGATGTCAGTAAAGATTTAAATTGCTTCTCAGTTATTTACAGTTTTGAGCTGGTGCTTCTTCTGATGGTAGCTCCATGCTGGGACAGGTTGGTTAAACTTTGTGTGGGTTATATAGAGAGAGTGGTTTTTCTCTTATTTGAGAAAATGCTAAGTGTCTGCAGCAGATGGGACTTGAAAACCCCTTTCTGTGCCCCCGTCCTCCAGCACCCTAATGTGTAACACTGACCGCTTGCTACATTCTCTTTGGCCTTCCCACCCATAGCTGAAGCCCATGCCCCAGACCTTTCCTTCTGATCTTATTCCCATCAATATTTACTTGTCCTGTTTCATTTGGTTTCAACTGGCTTACTAAATTGATAAATTAAGGTAGTAGTTTTAATGATTAAAAATTAAGCCAGTGTGTAACCCATTCTAAGCATATTGGGATACAATGCCTTGGATATAATTCTAGGCATATTTGGATGTGATATCAAACTCTTAGGTGCTTCGATAATAAATAATACTATAGGAAATAAGCAAGTGAGCCATAGCTCAGTGCATATTATAGAGTAGGCATCAACAACTATTTTCAGAATGAAATTATTTTGAGGCATATTTATATGTGGAACACAGGGATTGTTCCTAGACCCTGAATTCATCCTGCACTGGGGCGTAAGAAGAGCTCAGTGTGCAAACACAGAGGGCAGATGGGGTCTTCCTTGGTGGCCTTGAAGGGCCCTGCCCTGCAGGATATGGCTGAGAAGGGCAACCAAAGCAAATATAAGCAATTAAGAGCAAACAGTACATTTCTGACTTACTTGGTTTCAGCCAAGATTATTTTTCTTTTTGCTTTTGGCCGATCATTGGTGTATGTGTCTATTCATTATGTCAATTTATCTCCTGTTTAGTCTTGCTCTTTCATATTTGCTTGCTCCACAACTATCATTGTAATTTCCAGTTATTTACCAAGGTCCACACTCCCTGGATTTATATAATCATTGAGCAATTAGAACTGAGGCTCTATCTGTTCCATTTTTTACTATTAATCGATTCATTCATGTATCGATGTCTCAATACATATTCACTAAATATCATTTACAAAGTTTTGTGTAAAATGTTGGAAAGAAGAGATATATAATCTCTCCCTTTCTCAGGGTGCTTGGACTGTACAGGGAAGAAATGGCAAAACTGGTACAATATAAAGCAGGGTGTGCTTCATGGTTGGGAGCATTCGGAGTTCACAGAGGGGTCCTGTTGGTTAAGTGATCAACGGAGAGTTCAGGGAGAGGGTCCTGGTAGGGAAAAGGTGGGAAGCAGGGGTGGGCCTCAACAGGTAGAGCTCAGAGTTGGGGAGAGACAGTCCAGATCCAGGGGGGAAAAAAAAGAAACAAAAAACTATGACAACATGGTAATGCAAGATGATTTTTTTCTTTCTCTGATTATAGGAAGAATGTAGACTTTATGAAAACATACAGGGCAAGATACTTACTTTGAAGTGAATTTTGACTCTGTATTCAACACCTTCCTTTAGCACAAAAGTTTCTTTTTTGAGGGCTTCAAGATCTCCTGTAGAAGTGGATTTAGAGAGAGTTTATTCTCCTCAGAAGGAGAAATACAAGGAGATGAATGGAGTTTAAACTCCAGAGCAGTTTGCTGGGGCCGTCAGAATAACATGGTCCACATGGCCTTCAGTTCGAAGAATATTTGAGATCACACACACACACACACACACACACACACTTGAAATGCCTGAAATCTTACAGCTAGATATGAGAATAATGTGATAGTGCTTTCTCCCCCAAATTTGATGACACCCCTAAAATATACAAGGTATGATCAGCAATGAACTATGTATGATAATGCCTTTTTTTTTTTAAGTAGGCTTCATGCCCAAAGTGGGGCTTGAACTCATGACCTCATGATCGAGGGATGCATGCTCTACCACTGAGCCAACCAGCTGCCCCGACAATGTCTTTTCTAATTGTTAATAATAAAAACAAGTTTTAATTAGCCATCCTAGAGGAAAATCTGAATTATCTTTCTATTTTCTCTACTGAAAATGATATTACATAAGTGGCCAAACAAAAAGATGATTAAAGAATGTGTCCCTACCCCTCAAATAAATTAATAAGAAAAATATTATGTAAGAGCACCAGCTATTTGTTTTCGTAGATTTGGTGATGTTTGTGACATTTTCTAGCTTTAAAAAATTTACTTGTTTTGGCTCCCTTTTATCATTCTAGATATATATTCTCATATTCACTTTTGTACTTACTTTTGCATTTGCATTTGTAATCTCATATTAGTTTTCTTAAGGAAAGTCACTTAAGTGATAAAAGCTTTGGGCCCCATAAAACCAGGATCTGACTCTAATTCCTGTACTCTGGTTAGAGAGGTAATCACTCTCTGTTCTTTTCCCAGTGTGGTCCTGTATCATTTGACATTCAGGGGTAAATGTATGTGTATGTGTGTCTATGTGTGTATGTGTGTGTTTTGTATAGCTCTGGGCATGTGCTTCATATCATATATATATGTATGCAAGTATATATATATATTCATGCACACACTATGTGTATGTAGTATGTATACAATATACTTATATTTTGTATATATACTATATATTATGTGTATTATATACCTATATTACTTGTATATAATACATATACTATATATTTTGTATATAACTATGTGTATTATATGTATATATAATGTATAGATATGTATATATGCATATAGTATGTACATATATTATACATATATAATATATACTATATATTTTGTACACATAATATATATATTATGTGTATTATATGTGTGTGTGTGTGTGTACTGGGATTCACCTCAGTAGCTTCTTGAAAACCAAATTTGGGCATCCCGATGCTGGGAAAGTGAAAGAGACTGAGTTTTCCCTGCGATGTGGTCAGGCCCTTAGATTTCCTTAGTGCTAAATCAGACCTCATCTCACAAACTGACGGTTGTACCTGCTAGCATTACACAATTTCACACAGGAAGAGGCCTGAGTCCTGGTGAGAAAAAGAAAGAGAGAAAGGGAGAGAGAGATTCTCCTAGAGAGGTGCTAGAATGTGGAGGTAGGTGAATTTTTGTCTGCTGTAATGGTTTCAGTTGAAGGGGAAGTGTGTCTTCTCAGCCTCGGATTTCCTCCTTCAGACAAATAAGGTCATATAAGGTAAAGAGTGGATATGTACTGTGAGAGAGGAATCACCTAGCTGCTGAGCCTACTGTTCTGGAGTCAGGCTTTGCTCTGTCTCATGAGTCCACCTTTTGAATCTGGGAATAATTTTCTCCCGGCTCCGTGTGCCTTCCCTCATTCCTCTCAGATGCACATTTCTCCCATAATACCCACCTTCTCAGCCTCTCTATCTCCTCAAGATTTAAGTGTCAGGAAAGGACTTGACCATTGTCACAATAAGAGGAAAGGAAATAACATCCTAATCTGTACGTCTCTAGTGGGGGAAGTCGCTTATACAAGAATCAGAGCTTTAAGCTAAAATAGTACGTATTTAACAGTGGCATTCCCAGCACTAATTAAAAGATTTTAGATGGCTTCTTGCCTTCACGGAAGTTCTCTAGTTGATATACGGTCAATTTTCTCTGATGTTTAGATTGTATAAAGATTACATGTTAGAAGCATTCAGCTTGCTTTGTAATATTTCCATCATCAGTCTTTTTATTTTTTTAAAGATTTTATTTATTTGAGAGAGAGAGAGCATGAAAGGAGGTAGGGTCAGAGGGAGAAGCAGGCTCCCCGCTGAGCAGGGAGCCCGATGCGGGACTCAATCCTGGGGCTCCAGGATCATGACCTGAGCCAAAAGCAGACGCTTAACCAATTGAGCCACCCACGTGCCCCCATCATGTCTTTTCACATGAATAGTAATTCCCTTGCTGCTGTGTGAAGATAAAAATCTGAAGTAAATATGACGATACAAGTAAATAGATCCAATACTTAGGACTGCACCTTCTTCAATTAAACAGAGACCGAGATTGGGCTTTTCACTGAGCGACTGTGTATCCTGAGAGCAACGATTTGTGAACTGGTCCCAGCATACATGTGTCTGGGATTCACCTTACTGGCGCTTCCTTTTGCTGGGAGAGGGGACAGAGACTAAGTTTTCCCCGTGATATCACTAGGCCCCTTGGGACAGAACAGATGTGTCCACTTACCAGTGAGGTCCATGGTGATTGGTCCTGGGGCACTCTCACACACCAGGGTAAGCCGGGTAACCGTGACATTGGGGGCTGTCGGGTCTGCAGGATTCAAAAGAGAACGTAAGCCTAGGGCAGAGACACGTGTGTGCAGTGTGTGTACATTTCAAGTCGGAGAGAGGGAACATAAGAAGAGTGGTATCTCTGTCTGGAGTGGCAATAGAAAGGCAAGTGGCAGGTTCCCCATGTTGGGCTCAATGGCCTTATAAATTAGAGCAGTGCTATTTCTGCTTCAGGCACTTGGAGGTCCACCTTAGTTGTCAACAGCAAACATTTCCTGGGTGGCTGTGGGCAAGTTCCTCTGCTAGATGGGCACTGTCCCTGTCTACCTTATTCTGCCATTGTGTCTGTGGAAGAGATGGAGTATTAGGTAAGGAAGGAGTGAGAAAGAGAAAGAGGAGAAGGAGAGAAAATGTGAGAGATGGAGAGAATACAGTTCTAAGTGGTAGTCGGGGGTTCTTTCTAATTCCTCCGCATGTGTACTTTTTGCCTATTTCAATGCTGACTTGCACTTTATCTCCAAAGAAGACTTCATCCTACGGTCTTTAACTTTATGCAGCACATATAGACTGTGCCTCACTCGCTTAGCTCTGACAACACGTGGTCTCTTTCTTCTACACCTGCCCCCCATCCCGCTCCACACACACACACCTGCCACCACAGGGCCGTCCCCCAGGAGTGTTTTCTTGTACTTGATCAGACTTTCGTCATCTTTGTCCATCTCCTGTAGCTCTTTCAGAGACTTCTGGGGTGGAGGCTTGTAATTGAGCTTGCTGTCCAGCTCATCGACATCCTCTTCCAGGTGTGTTTCTGGGTCCTTTTCAGTCATTTTGATCTATTTCAGAGAGAGGGAGAGAGAATGATAGTCCATTAGCCAAAAGTCAATGGATATGAACAAGTTTGCGGGGCTGCTGGTAACACCATCCTTGCCCTCATGGACTTCTGTAATCATCAGTGATTTTCCAGGATATTTTTTCCTAATCTCATCTCATTATTTTTTTTATGCAATAAGCAGAGAATGCCTTTGGTCTTTTCTCTGAACTTCTTGAATTTCTCTGTACCATGGCAAATGTCTCCTATTCACCGAATAAAGCTGACCAGAGAGAAATAGCTGATTTGTGAATAATGTCCAAGTGAAACAACATAACACAAGCAGTCCCAAATAATGAGCAGATAGCCCCAGTTCAAACAATTATAGGAATAACTGCAGTCCTCTTAATCCAGCCACTCCTCTAGTGTCCAAGCTCTTAGCATCGTACAATCTTTGACCCCCTGTGTTTTGAAACCATCGCTTGTTGTTTGTACGGTCAAAGAAACGGTTGGCTTCTTCCCATTAATTGAATCTTTCCCTGAAATCCTGCGATACTTCAAAGGTAAGTCGTGCAACATTGTAACACCTGCCTAAGTTGTCTGAATGGTTCCCATCCAGCACTGCTAATAACTCCCTGAGGGCAGCAAGTACCAGGTTCTGTGCTTCTCTTGAATCTCCCATGATAATCGAATAATTTAAGCATTTTATAAACCCCCCTGGTTTGACTTATTTGGCTCTGTATCTAAAGATCTTCTGTTCTTTTGAAATGGCATAAAATAACAAAAGACTCTTTAAATTCCTCCAGAAAAAATGTGAAGGATTAGCATGTCTTTATTTTACCTTTACCTTCCATTGATCTCCCTTTTCTGGATCCCCTTCCCTTTTAGTGTCTTCCTCCTCTTGCCAGATGACTAGTGATGTTATTCTCTAAGGCCTCACCTCGGTATACCCAGGAGTCTGTCTTCTTCCCTCATCATCTACGTTTACTTGTTATGTGTTAAACTATGGAGGGGAGATTCTAATAAAATGATTCGCACTTAATTGTTAGTGACTGAATAATAGATTTAAAAAATTATTCGTTTTAAGCCGTGTATAGTCAGAGATTTTCAGAGCAGAAAGGAACCCTAGAGGTGAGATATTCCAACCTGTCATGTAATCATTGAGAAAATTGAAACTCAGAGGTTAAGAGAAATGCCCAAATTTCCATAGCTGGATGAACTTCAGTGTCCTTAAATAAATAGGAAGGAGTCTCTACTGGAAGAATTTCAGCCCGTGGCTGGCAGCAATGGAGCTATTTGGGGAAATATGGGTCCTGCAGTCCTCCCTCGAGAGTGTCCTCCCTGCCTGTGGTTAAAGATTACATTGTTCCTAGGTGGTACAACTCTAGACAATATCTAGCACATCTCATCCTGAGTGAGTCTGCAAACCTCTGTCAAGTTCCCCAGGGGGTGAAGCTATCTCTGGCCAAAATTAGCTGTGGTTTTGAGTTTCAGTGTCTCCCTCACTGGCATCAGAAAAGAAAATAATTTGGAAGGGAAGCCAAACAAAAACAACTTTAACAGAAAAAGAAGGAAAAAACAGAGAATAAAAAGAAATGATATCCCTTGGCTCATCGATCCTCTTCTAACAAAATAAGAAGCCAAACACCATGAGCTTGATCAAGTCTGCAAACAGCATTGCAATGCCCAGGTCCACTTCCTGTGCAGGAAGGAAGCATGCAGGCTTGTTCCTATGGCAACTCTTTCCTCAGCTGAAGACTCAGCACCACTCATAGCTGAGCCTCTCGAGACAGCATAATAGATATCGTGACCAGCTCAACTCATATTCCAAATAACACTCAGGGAAAGTGAATGAACTGGTTGGAAAAATAATGAAGGATGCAGTGGTTGGAGATTGTAGGTTGTGGGTAGCTTGAGGACAATCATTAAGGGGCAGATGAAGAGCAACCCAGATGAGATTAATCAGAAGAGAGAGGTTCTCCTCTGGTGACACCCAGGAACCGGTGTGCCTGGGTGACTTGGTCAGTTAAGTGTCTGATTCTTGGTTTTGGCTCAGGTCATGATCTCAGGGTCCTGGGATCGAGCCCTGCATCCGGCTCCACACTCAGTGCAGAGTCTCCATCTCCTTGTCTTTCTCCCTCCTCTTCTGTTCCTTCTCCCACTCTCTCTCTCTCAAATAAATAAATAAAATCTTAAAAAAACCAAAAACCATACATCAGGAAGCCTATCTACAGATAAGGATGTCTTGGCCCTCTTGGACAGAACTCTCTGGAATATATCGCTTGGTTCTAACAAGTCATCTGCTTGAAGTCTGACCATCAGAAGATAACACCACACCTACCCACTACCTAGCTCAAGGTGATTTCCATACCTGCAGGGAATTGTTATTCTGCACCCTGAGATCTCAATTTTGAAAGGAGAATGAGAGAAAGAGAGAGAGAAAGGGAGAGAAAAAGACAAAGACATGATCTAGGACAGGATTCAATAACATCTGTGTGATCATTGGCAAGTCAATTTCTCAGTCATCTAGATCTTGATATTCTTATTAATAAATCTGAGACTAATCAGCTGTCACGCCCTGAGCAAACGGTTCACCCACTGTGGATCTTATTCTCCTCTTGAGGTTTGGGGGGGGGTTGGAGCAGACCACCTCTAGGTGCTTTTCCTTTCTAAGTTCTCCATCTGTAGATTTGTCTTGCCCTGAGGTCGTGCGTCAGCTGAATTGCAGGCATTCGGTTACCTTATTTCACTTGTGTACAGAAGAGACGTATCCAATCTCTGTTTTATTATCTCAAGTTTGTGTGAAACACAAAGAAACAGCCTTTTTAATTTCACAGTTCATCTCTGGGGAACCTCAGATTCTGCCAAAGCTTCAGCCATCATGGCTTATAGAGTTTGATAATGATTTCCCAAACTCTATGTGTGTACATATTTAACCGCACCTTATTAGTCCTCTCTCTTTATCCCCCCATTTTACAGTGGGATATGCCTGCGAAAGAGAGAACCGGCATTTTATGGAAATTCTACAGACTACCTTCGAGTATCATCTAAAGAACAACTGGCTTTATTATTGATGATGATAATTATGATAGTTACCATACATAATGCTAAATTCTGTTGCGAGGATTAGCTCATCAGTCCTCACTACAGCCTAGGGGCAGGCATGGTCATCATTCTCTTCTATAGGTTAGGAAACTAAAGCTCAGACAAGTAGCTTGCCGAGGATGACCTATTGTGTAAGGGGCAGAATTACTGTCTGGGCCACCTCGTCTGGCTCACAGGCACTATGCTCTGTTGCTCTAGCTGTCTTTAGTAAGAAGTAAAAATGAAATTATAGAATCCATTAGTTATCTTGGAAATCTATCCGGAGGGTGCGCAGGCAGCAGGAAATGTGCTGTTTGGCAAAACTCTGCCGGCTTTAGCGAGGCAGGGAAGCGTCACATAAAGAGGGTTTCAGGGCCACTCTGCCCCATGTTCCCTTGCACAAGTCCCTGACCCTTTCTGCGCTCCAGTTTTGTCCTCGGCAAAATGAAATCATTGCCTTAGAAGGACCTCTGAGGCCTCTTCCTAATTCAATGACTCGAACGCTCCTTAATTTAAAGAAGCCTCTGAAACAAGAAAAGAGGAAGTGGAGGTGGGGTTGGGGAAGACCCAGGCCATCTGTGTAGAACATTCTGGCTGGCCTTTTCTCACCTTCCTCTGCAGCTCACCCACTGTTCCACAAAAAGCAGAGTTGTTTCATTTGCTTGGAGGTCGTTTTGACGTTGGTTTTTTTACACAGTAAAAGTGAAATGGAGAACAAAGAATTACATGTTTAACAAGGTTAGTCCCATCAGGACCCAAAGCACATAGCGGTTTTGTGTGTGTGCATGTGTGTGTGTGTGTGTGCTTACTGCTCATTATCTTTATCTTCTGCTTCACAGATGCCTCCACAGATGACTTTTCACAGTGAGCCCCTCACACCCTCATGTTTGCTATGCAGCAAAGTAGTGTAAGCTTGGGGTATGCTGAGATAGAAACTTAATTCTCTCAGGCTCAATTAAAATGCCACATTAAATTAGAGCGGTCACTCATGGTGGGACTGCCATAGCACAAATTGGTGGTTTTGCTTGCAAATCCAGTGCATTGTCCAAGACACTGAAAGTGAAATACACTTAAGAATTTGCACCAATCTCAGGATAGAGCCCCCTTGTCTGGTTCATTGATGCAGTTCCAAAGCAGCAGGGGGCAAGGAAAGGTGAAACTCTTGAGTTCAGATGAAACAGATCACCTGGTTAATTCAAAGAAAGGTGATCTTTAAGGCCTACTAGGACCTGGACTTTGAGTTTGGTGGGCCAGAGATTCAAAATGTGGTTCTGCGTTGCCTTATTGCAGGACCTAACTAAGCAAATGATCAGCCTTGCTCAGCCCCAGATTTTCCACCAGTAGTGTGGAAATAATGCTCTTTCTTTATGGGGTTGAAGAGTTGGGGAAACACATGAAAAGCTCTCAGATGATCCTGGCCAATAGTAGGTGTTCAATAAACTACCCGTTCTCTTCCTCCGAACCCTGCCCTGCGGGGCTGTCTGTCATGAGGCACAGCCTCTGTGAAGTGAGGTAGCTGGCTGCTGAGGCACCAAACGCTTTCCCTCGTCTCTGCGGTGTTGACAATGTCCACTCCTTCCATCTTAAAAATAGATTTTGTTTCTTTGAGGAGTACGGAAGACACAAGAAGTTCTGGGAATTGCGAGAACTGTTTATTAACTGAATCAAGCTTAAAATGGGAATGTCACTATTATACTTCTTTAAAAACTTCCTCACGAACAATTTAATTTTAGATTCTATTTATTGCTCCCTTTCCTCATGGAAGCCAGAGTTCACTCTGCGAATGATGAGAAATGACAAAAGACAACAGGCACAACCAGTGGAGAGAATTCCCTTTGGCTCTGGAGCAAAATACTGTGGAGACTGAACTCATGTTCCAAAGTTGCCAGATCATGCCTTTAGATGCACAGGTCATGAATATGAGATAGAAGAGGTGGAGATGACAGAGGGACAGAGAAATATGGAAGCACCAGAAGTAGGGGGATTTCCATCAGAGAAGCTGATGCAAGCATTAGCTTTCTCTGTCACCCTGTCATGTCCTCTCCCTGCTGACCAGGATACGTGGAGAGTTGGGTCATCCCTGAAGGATGGCCGACATGTCAGAGCCAGTCAAGGATTTGGGTCTGCTTTGCTGCCGGCCTGGTGACTGGGCTTATTTGGGGAATCCAAGTTGATCCCTCGGGACACCAGAAGCTGTCTTGGCTCTGGAGTCCTCTGTGGTTTCTCAGGCTTCCCTAGCAACATGGAGGGATTGGTGCCTCCTGGGCTCCTCAGGGCAGCTCTCCACCATCTTAGCTCTGTGAAGAACATCTGAAATTGCAAAGCTGGATGAGGAGAACCAACTCAGTGCCTGAGAGGACAGTGTCTTGTTAGATACAATAAATATTAAAATCAGTCCAGAGAAGGATACAGATGCGCAGAAGCAGAATTCTTTAACACTTGCCTGGGTGAGAGAAACCATACATTCTTTCTTCCCTGTGTAGTCACAGTATACTCTTCTAACCCAGATTCCTGTGCAAAAGGAGAGAGAACTCGGCGGGGCCATTCATCTCTGCTGAGTGGCTGCCCTGTGAAGTTACCACGCTCGGTATTTCCACAGGTATTTATTTTAAATAATCCTCGACAAAAACTGCATCAAGGAAGTCATTATTAAGCAAAACACTAGACTGCCATAACTCGGTACAGTCACAGAAGTTTTAAATTCAGCACGAAGAGAAGCAAAGACACGATCTGTAACCACGGGTACTGAGAATATCAGCCCCTTTAAGAAAGATCAGGTGCCTTCGTACCAGCTCTGGCTGTGGACACCAGAGTGTGACACGGCCCAGAGCGATTTGGGAAGTGCTCACAGAAGTGATAAACATTGAAGTTGCAGGAACAACATGAGAGCCGTCCCTGGGTATGCCAGTGTGGGCTTTCATCCAGGGCCTCGGACAGCATAACACTGCCTACGGATAAGGACACCCAGATTGTGGGATTAGAGAAAATTTCCCCCACGGGACATTTCCTAAAATGTCCTTCTAAGGCATTGCAGCTGCTGGTTCTTTTTTTTTTTTTTTTTTTTTTTTTTGGTGACTTTGAAAGTTTCTACCACCAGGCTTCACCTATAGAAGGCACTCAACAGATGTTGGTTCTCTCTCCCTATCGGCTTTGTTTCTAGTCCCTGGGGCTTCTCTCTTCCTGCTAGCAGAAATTTGTACTATATTTTGCTCCCATTAATTGGCCCAGGCCGATCTTCCCATCCCAATGGCTTTGCTGTGCTGAGCTTCCACTAACAACAGAACCTCAATGTTGCTCCCAGCCTACTTCCCTATGGACAAATTCATGCTCTCCCAAGCAAGGAAGGACTAAATCCCCATCCCTGGAACATGCCGGTCGGCTTTGGTTCAGCTTTAACACAGTCATTCCACACATGCCGGGTCTGTGCATCCTGAATGGAGAAGGAACTCTTCTCTCAGAACTCTGCACATCTCACACAAGAGTAAGATGATCTTATTACTATGCTTGCATCATATCTAGATTTGGGAGGGATGTTTTCTTGTACACTTAGCAAAACAAAGCAATGGCAACGATCCGTGATGTCTCCCTGTGGCCAAACCTCCTGGGCAAGCACAGACCTCTCGCTTTCCCTTGCTTAATCATTCCTGCAGGGAGGCGCCAAGATGCTAATCCTGATTTCAGTGGCTCTCCATGTGAAAGGGGTGACTATGGGAAGGGCCTCTCAGGGAGAGCAGTCTGCCTTCCTGGACCTTGCATGGAAGAATAGCCAGGGCTTGATCAGACCCAGGCCACAAGTAACCCTAAGTCTAGAGTTTAATAACAGACTAGGTTTATAAAACATGCTGACTGGAGCATCCTCTAAAGGGAAGAATTTCAGATCATGCCTAAAGCACTTCTAAGGGTCACCAAATTCAGTCCTTGGCATTTTGAAGGCTTGCGAGGCAGGTATCCTAGCGGGGCTAATTGGATTTTTGTAGAACCTATCTCTTAATAAATTATTTGGTGCCTTCCCTGTTTGCTTTTAGTCCTCTCAGATGTAAAGAGCTATTTTTAGCAACAACAGCAATGATTTTTCTGCCCATCTGAATGCAGGAATTTTATATATATATACTTAAGATTTTTATTTATTTTTCAGAGAAAGAGAGACAGACAGAGAGAGAGAGAGCACAAGCAGGGAGATCAGCAGGCAGAGGGAGAAGCAGACTCCCCACTGAGCAAGGAGCCCAACGTGGGGCTCGATCCCAGGGCCCTGAGATCATGACCTGAGCCGAAGGCAGACACTTAATCGACTGAGCCACCCAGGCATTCCCGACTGCAGGAACTTAATAAGTGGTCTTTGCTAGTGGCAGAAATCGATCCCTCTGTGACCGATGAGTAAATAACAATATGTTCTACCACACCTCCCCCTTGATGGTTAAATCCCATAGTACTTGAAGGGAGGTTTTCATTATGCATTTCTCTTACACCACCAGAAAAATTCTTTAGGGGAAAACAGTTTAATGTTTGACAGCTTTGAGTCTTTATCTTTTTTCTTTTCCATCAGTCTCTTTACATCTACTTAAAAACAGGAAACCACATATCTCCACCCCAGCAGCAACCCCTCAACTACTAGCATGTTCCACACCAGTTTGGGTCCACAGGCTTTTTGCTTCTAAACTTGGCTGGATGCCCACCTCTACCTTGTAGGAAACCCCTCTGGGCACTCCCCAGGAGTTACACTCATAGCCCTTTTCCCAGACACTCAGGATCTCATGGGCTGCAGGGCACACCCCACCCCTCCCTCCCTGAGCTCTCTCTCCTGAGTCATTGCTAAGATTCCCTGCTCTGACTTCCCCTTCTCTGCAAATGGTTGCTACTGCCTCCTTAGTACTTTCTTATCTGTTTCAAAGATAATCTAAAAAAAAAATAAACTGGAGAGCGTCCTAGCCTAGTTTAGATATCGCCTACATTTCCCTGTGCCCACCTACAGCCTCCCCCCCCATCCCGGAGGCATTTCAACTTACATTCAGTGGCTCACGGCTCTCTGGGGTGCCTCTGTCTCTCACTCTGACTTCTGAGTACTGGCAGTTAGAACAGGAAGGAAGTTAGTGAGGAAAAAAAAAATGTTTTAAACCTACTAGAAGAGGAAACCCTGGGCTGTCTCAAATCCTGTTCCTTTGCGCTGCATATCTCTTGATCAGTCAACTGAACAGTGTTCTTGTCAATTAATGGCACAGGTGGGAGCATGACTGCCCGTGTGAGTGTGAACACGGATGTGCACGAGTGTTCGTGCAAGAGCCTCGAGGCCATAGCCTTTGAGTGTTATGGATCACTGTGTGGGTGTGTGTAGAAAATCAAGCCCTTGCAGTGCATAAGCTTACTGAGGCAAGGAGCTGAAAGCCAGGAGCAATAAATTCGCATCAGCTTTACTTCGTATCACTGACTTCTGCTCCTCTGGGGTCTCTGCCAGCTTTCTTATCCGCCAGATACCTTGAAAGTTTGCTGGCCGCGAATGCAGAGTGCTAAGGAATTATAAATGTTAACTGTATATACTTGGCCCTAAACTTAAAAGATTTGCCCTCAAACGGGTTTTTGGAGTTTTGTTGGTTATAATTTCAAGCTGTAGCTTTGCACCGCAGCACAATCAAATGTCACTTGTTGTAGTTTTCGCTGATTGTTTTAATTTAAAAAAAAAGTGAAGCACTGCTTTCGATTAAAGCTAGGAATGAGGATTATAAAATAGCGTGCAACGTTGTTAATTCACAGTCTTGTAACTCAGAGTTTGTGGTAATTTAACAAGTACTAAAGCGGACTTCTTCCCATATTTAAGGAAATGGTTTGTGAAGTAATTTAAATGGGAACAAATGGCAGAGGCCATATTTAAACCCTTTAAAGGAACAAACAGTTTTTAAGCAGTCAAGCCACATTGTTCCATACACTTCCATAGCTGCTGTCGATAAAAAATGCTTATTTATACTAACATTTCAATATTCAGCATTTACATTGTTTCAGTATGTGTAGAGCTGACTACTTAAGCAAATATACTTGGAGAAACTGACATTTGTTTTGCTGTCATTTAAACGTGCTGCATCTTGTTCCCCTTTTTGTAAACTGATGCCTCCAAATACATCTTATCTTTAGTCACTGGAACTGAAGTAGTTGAGATGATGGTTATTTGGTGGGAGAAAAGAGATTAATCGAGGAAAATATAAAAAGGAAAACAGTATATAATTACAATTAGCAAAAGTTCTGAACACCAAATACAGACTTAGTCTGTAGATTTCAAAATGATATAGATAGAAGACAGCCCTTGAAAGCAACTGGCTGTATTATAAATTGAAGCAAATATTAACCCACATGGAAGAGAGTAAATTTTGTAGCTCAGTACTCGCAAGAGGGGACACATTTCTTCTCTCAGTAACATCTGTGGAGCGCCTTTATTTTTCCAGCTACTGTCCTAGGCCCCAGTGAAACAGCAGTAAACAACAGACAAACTCTCTGCTCTCTTGTGGAAATTATGTCCTGGACGGGGACAGACAATGAAAAAATAACATAGGTAAAAATAAATTACTTAGAACAAGGAGGATTTAAAAATTGGGAATGGTAGATTCAGAGTCCACATGCCACTCCCCATTTCTCATGCTATTAGGGAAAACCTCACTAGTCAAACAGGGCTTTTTTTTTCCCCCGTCAAGCCCAATGTGTCTCCACAATTTTTCTTTTTCTTTTTTCTTTTTTTTTCTCCACAATTTTTCTTAATGCACTGCATTGGGTATGGACATTTTTTTTTAAAGATTTTATTTATTTATTTGACAGAGACACAGTGAGAGAGGGGACACAAGCAGGGGGAGTGAGAGAGGGAGAAGCAGGCTTCCCACAGAGCAGGGAGCCTGATGTGGGGCTCGATCCCAGGACCCAGGGATCATGACCTGAGCCGAAAGCAGACAGACGCTTAACCACTAGGCCACCCAGGAGCCCCTGGGTATGGACATTGGAAGGTAGGGGAGCCAGTTAAAAGTGTCTGTAACATCACTATGTATGTGTGCAGTGTGTGTGTATTTATTAGGGGAGGAGAGAGCATTAATAACTTTCAGCAAATTCTCAAAGGAGTCCATGACCTCAAAAGGATTAAGAATTGCTCATTTAAAGCCTCTTCTTGATGACACAGCCATGGGAGGACACAGTCAGTTGGAGGACAAATGCCATGTTCTCCTAAAATACCTCCTGACATCACAGTCAGGGCAGGGATCTCACCAAAATTCCCATTTCTCATTTCTCCTCCATCACCATTCACTGTTCACCTGTATTTATCAGCTGGGAAAACAGACGAAGAGACTCTTTGGAGAGGCCTATAAGGGCAGACACTCTGCTTCTAGCCCATGCTGACAAAGATGTGTTATGCACCCAGACTCCCTTCCCCATATCTAAGCTTCTTCAGATGTAGGACAATGCCTGTCATTGCAGTAAGGATGATCTTACTCCAAGGACCCTAGCCCTGTGTTGCCAAGTGAAGTCAACAGAACTTGGAAACCTGCATGAGAGTTTCCAGAACAAGGATCAAACCTTTGAAGTAGTTTCCAGCTTTTCTTTGTTGGTACAAGCACACGACTGAAAGGTAAATTCTAGACAGCTCTTCCATGGGGCAACGCCTTCACCATAAACCTCAAAAAGTGACAAAAGACTGCGGCAGACTATTAGACTTCCCCTTTTGGCACAGATGTATTTCTCTGAGGCTACAAGTTGAGACAATAAACTCTCAGAGAAGACTTTCAATTCTGAAAGCTGTCCATTCTGAAATGTGTCCACGAGGCACCAATAGCCGGCTTGGGGGGGAGGCCTACAGTTAGACAGATGTCCTGGCTCTGTGTCTTCCTATCAGTGTATCCCCAGGCCATGGCTTCATTTCTCTGAGGCTCAGTTTGCCCGTCTATAAAAGAGGAATGATATCAACCTTCAGCCTCGCTGGAAGGGTTGGAAATAATGTGTGAGAAAGCATCCAGCAGAGTGCTCAATACTCAATAAACGATCGAGGCTAAGAAAATCATCGCCATCATCAATTCCACAGGACATTTTGATGCTTATTATTGCAGACCACATATGAGATTGACTAGGAGAGAGTCATTTTCATCTAAGTGCTTACAATCAGCCCACACACATCTCAAATATATATATATATATCTTATATATTACCTCCTCCTTTTTAAAAGATTTTATTTATTTATTTGACAGAGAGAGAGAGCGAGCAAGCACAAGCGGGGGGAGTGGCATGCAGAGGGAGAGGGAAAAGCAGGCTCCCTGTAGAGCAGGGACCCCGATACGGGGTTCGATCCCAGGATCCTGGGATCATGACCTGAGCCAAAGGCAGACGCTTAAACCACTGAGCCACCCAGGTGCCTACCTTCTTCTTTGAAGCTTTCCAGCATTGATCCAGGACAAGTGTGTTATATTTTTTTTCTGAACTAGATCGTGCACTGTTTATACAATATAATTTAGGACTTTAGTAGGCACTGTTTTGTGTTACATGATTATTTTCTCAATAGTAGAGTTATCTCTCCATCCAAATATAAAATGTGTGAGGGAAGGGCTGTGTCTTACATGCCTTGTATTCCTTGAAGCAGCTAGCACAATACTTAACTGAATCATGCAAGAAATTGAGTAAAGTTCTTTAGTAGATAGGTATCTGTCTAAATTAGAAAGAAATGCCTACATTCTGCACCCCCACTCCATCTCTTTCCTCCGGTTAGTGTGTTGTCTTAGGGAAAAATGAATACGAATATGAGTATAATTGTGTGTCCATAGGGGTCACTAAGACCAATTTCTCTGTTTCTTCCTTTCTTATATATGTGTATATATGACATATTGAACTACATTCTGAAGGGGTTCATAGCCTTGACATAAAGGTTCATTTCCAAGTTCAACAAGCCCTTAAGAATTCCCAGCTATATTCCAGGACCTGTGCACAAGGCCAGAGATAAGCCCACTTCTAAGGCACTGTCCTAGATCTCATGTTGCTACCAATGTAATGAGGAAGACAGAAAGAAACAAATTAAATTTTTTGTGTGTGCTTAAGAAATGTACAGGAGGTATTATGAGAGAAGTTAGTAAGGACATCAAGAAAGGCTTCTTGGAGGAAGTGATTACAGAGCTAAGTCTATAAAGGAGAGTAGACGTTGGCTACCTGACATGGGAAGGGTTGGAAATGGAGGAGAGGGCATTTGAGGAAAGGGAAACCATGAGCAAAGGCGTGGCATCCTAAAATGGTGTGGTATGTGCAGGGAATTATAAAGAAGCTGCTCAAGGTTGCTGGACTTCAAAGTGAACATTATATAAGGATAATAAATGTGCCTGGAGCGGGGCAAGCACAGGGTCCTCATCACAGCAGACCTCTCATGCTATGCTAATAAGGAACTTGGTCTTGATCCTGTCAGCGATGGAGAGCCATTGAAAGTAAAGGAGGCTCATGAATAGTTTTGTGTTTTACTCTATAGTTTACTCAGGTATCTGTGTTGATGGGTTTTTTGGGAACAAAACCAGTTTGGAGACGGTGTAGGCCTGAACTAAAGCACTCGTGGGAGGGATAGACAGAGGTTAGCAGCTGAAGAAATACTTAGGTGAAGTTGGCATGACTTGGTGATTGGAGGGATGTGAAGGATGAAGGTGAGGAGGAGTGAGGACTTACAGGTTTTTTGCAAGAATGACAGGGTCCTTGGTGGTATCATCAATATAGAAAATACAAAAGAAAAGAGATGTCTTGGGGGAAGTTATGGCTTGAGTTTGGACTGGTTGAGTTTGAAAACAACTGTGCCATTTCTAGGAGGTGATTTTTGACAGAAAGATATATAAGCCTGGATTTCAACTTTAAACTAATGATTTATACTTCATCAGGCTATAGATAATAATTTCAACCAGGTTACCAAAACTGTGGTCTGTGCATCTGCAGATGGGCATCACCCAGGAATTTGTTAGAAATGCAAATTATCAAGCCAACTCCAGACCCATGATATCAGAATCTCTAGGACTGGAGTCAGGAATCTGTTTTAAAACACTCTGCAGGTAAGTTGTGACATTTGAGAAACATTGGTTTAACCCATATAAATGGATGAGACCACCCTGAGAGAGTATAAAAAGAGAACTTGGCCACATCTAGGAAAATCCTGTTTTACGCAAGCTCTACTTTCAATATATAACATGCTGACTACTTCTCATCTCCTCTGCTAGCAGCTTAACCCTACCATCACCATGCCTCTAGAGACTTTTATAACAGCTCCTTTGTATATTTTCCACTTCCATAATAGCCTCACGCTTTATTCTCCTCAGAGTAGTCAGAGTTAAGAAGCACACTCATGACCAGATCATTCCTTCCATCTGAAACTTCTAAGGACCTTTTACCCATTTATAATAAAATGGAAGCATTTGCCATGGCCTGCAGGTGTTCTCATTGTGGTAGCCAACCTCCAAGATGGCCCCAGTGTGTATCAGGCTTGGTCTTTGGGACCAATAGAGCATGGCAGAAGTGATGCTATGTCAGTTCTGAGGCTGTGCTATAAAAGACATCGTGCCTTCTCTCTTGATCTCTTGGATCAATTGTTCTGTGGAAAGCTAGGTACCATGTCATAAGGACACTGAGGTGACATATAAGCAACATTGGTCTACATGGTGAGAAATGAGGATTTCTGCTAACAGCCGTGTGAGTGAGTTATTTCCTACAGGAAATGAATCCTCCAGCTCCAGATGACTGTAGTCCCAGCAGCCTATCACCTCATGAAAGACGGAGCAGGAACCACACAGCTACACTACTCCTGAACAGACCCTCAGAAACCGTGGGATATAACAGATGTTTACTGTTAGGAGCTGCCAATTTTGAGGTAATTTTTATGTTATTCAATAACTGGTGCACTCATAATCTGGCCCCTTGCACCACTCCAGACTCCTCTCCCTACTCTTTTGTTCTCTCCATTCTAGTCCCCTGCTCCCCTGCTAATCCTTAGAGGAGAAGTAGGTTCCCATTTCAGGAGGTATTGTCTCTGCAGGAATGCTCTCCTCCCAAAGAGCCATACTTGATTCATTTCCTCGTTGTAGTTTTAGTTTGTGTTTCCCTAATGGAGGATTATGGCGAAATCTATTTATGTGCTTATTGCCATCTGTATATTCTCTTTAGCGAAATGTTTATTTGTATTTTTGGTCCATTTTCTAATTGACATGTTTGCCTTTTGAGTATTGAGTTTTGAGAGTTCTTTGTATATTCTAGAGGGAAATCTCTTGTTGGGTGTGTAATTTGCAAATATTTGCTCCCTGCTTGTATTTGGTCTTTTTATGCTCTTAACAGGGTTTTACACAGAGCAAAAGTTTTAATTTTGATGAGGTCAAATATATCAAATTTCCCTGTTAAGAACTTTTGCTGGCAAGTCTAAGACCTCTTTGCTTAGTCCAAGGCCTTGAAGAGTTTCTCCTCTTTTTTTCCTAAATCTTTACAGATTTATGTTGTACATTTAAGTCTGTGATACACATTAAGCTAGTTTTCATACAAGCTGTGGCGGTTAGGTGTGGAATTTTAGGTGCATAAAGTGTGAGATTTAAGATTCACTTTTTTTTATTTTGTTTTTTTATAATGTCCATGGACAAAATGTCAATGCTCAGCACCATTTGTCCAGGCTTTAGATGTTCATTCTCCAGCACCTTTTGTTGAACAGGCTATCCCCCCTCCGTTTAATTGCTTTTGCACCTTTGTCAAAAGTTAATTGGGCATATTTGTGTGGGTCTACACTTGGCTTCTTTACTTTGTTTCACTGATCTGTGTGTCTATCACTCTGTCCATACTGCACTGTCTTGACTACTGTCGCTATACAGTAAGCTTTAACATTAGGAAGAGTGATTCCTTCCCACCCTACTTTTTTCTTTTTCAAAATTTGTTTTGGATATGCATTTTAGAATAAACTTATCTATGTCTACAGAAAACCTTGCTGGAATTTTGATAGGAATTGCAGTAAACATCCATCAATTTAGTGAGAATTGACATCTTTATTATGTTGAGTCTTCTAATCCATAGCATGGTATGTTTTTTCAACTATTTAGGTCTGCTTTGATTTCTTTTAAATTAGATTTTGTAGGGCGCCTGGGTGGCTCAGTCAGTTAAGTGTCTGCCTTTGGCTCAGGTCATGATCCCAGGGTCCTGGGATCGAGTCCCGCATCAGCCTCCTTGTTCAACGGGGAGCCTGCTTCTTCCTTTGCCTCCACTCCCCCTGCTCGTGCTTGCTCTCTCTCTCTCTTTTAAAATCTTTTTAAAAAATTAGACTTTTTAGTTTTTAACCATACAAATCTTGTGCATGCTTTGTCAGATTTACACCTAAGTATTTCATTTTCTTTAGAGCAATTATGAATGATGTTACTTTTTAAGTTTCAGTTTCCATTTATTCATTGTTATGTATAAATGCAATTGATTTTTCTGTATTAGTCTAGTACACTTCAACCTTGCTGAACTCACTTATTAGTTATAGGATAGTTTTAAAATGCAGATTCCTTAGGATTTTTCTATGTAGACAATCATGTCATCTGTTAATAGAAACAGCTTCATTTCTTCATTTCCAAACTATATGCTTTCTATTTTTTTCATGCCTGATTGCATTGGCCAGAACTTTCAGTACCATGTTGAATAAGAGTGATGACAGCACACATCCTTGACTTGTCCCTGATCTTAGAGAAAAAGCATTCAGTCTTTCACAATTAAGTGTGAGGTTAACTGTCGGGTTTTTTTTGTTTGTTTGGCTGTTTTTTTGTGTGTTTTTTTGAAGATGCTCTTTATAAGTTCCCCTCCATTTATAGTTTGCTGAGAGTTATCATAAATGGGCACTGGGTTTTGCCAAATGCATTTTCTGTGCATTTCTATGTCAATTGATATGATCGTATGATTTTTCTTTTTAGGCTGTTGATATAGTGCATTATGTTAATTGATTAGGCTTTAAATAGTCTTGCGTACATGGAATAAATCTCACTTGATCATGGTGTATTATTATTTTTATATATTCCTGTATTTGAGTTGCTAATATTTTGTTAAGGATTTTTACATCTAAATTTATGAGACAGATTGGTCAGTATTTTTCCTTTTTACTGTCTTTGGTTTTAGTGTTAAAAATTTTTATGAGGGTAAAACTGGCCTAATGAAACGAGATGAGAACTGTTCCCTCTTCTCTATTTTCTGAAAGGGAGTATTGTATTTTTAATTAATAAGTTATTTTTTTCAAGATTAACAATGTTGTTCTGGAAAATGCATAAATATCATGGGATAGTAGGAGAAGGAGGAGACAGCTTTGTACCTTCCTTCTTCACATTTAGGGTGTTCCTCTCTGGAGTCCGCTGTGTATTAATCAGAGTGGGAATCTCAGTCTAGGAGAATCCAAATGTAGAGGAAATGTGTCTTTGATGTGTGTCTTCCTACTCAAAGGTATTTTAAGAAACACTAAAGAAGGATTAGAGATTAGCACTTGTGTAAGGAGCTTATAGGACAGCTAAAATTTTAATTACTTTCTAATTACTTAGTACCTGCCCTTTAACTCTCTTTCTGTATGTGATTAATACTTTCCCATCTTTCAGCAAGTATCAAGAACCAAGAATTATAGAACTATGAAACATAATTTTTAAAAGGAGTTTTATGATATTTCGTTTTTAAATTTGCATACAGTAAAACTCATTCTCTGTGTGTTTTGACCAATGCATGGAGTTGTAGATCCACCACTACAATTAAGATACCAAATAATTCCATCACCCTTTAAAATCCTTTGCGTTGTCCCTTTACATGCAGTCGACTTCTCTCAGCTCCTGGCCGCTACTGATTAGTTCTCCAACCTCATAGTTTTGTCTTTTGTGAATGTCATTAATGAAATCAGATACTATCAGAGCCTTTCAACTCTGGATTCTTTCACTGAGGAAAATGTGCTTCATATTCATTGATGTCATTACATATACCAATAATTCTTGTTCTTTTCCCAGCAAGGTTTCTGCTGGCTTTATTTCTTATGTCTTTGAAATCTTAGTGTGTCCAGCACAACCAAGGTTCATCCAGAGAAATGTCTTGGTCATCAATCACCTTGTTTAGAGCCATGTGACTCCATTACCTGGTTGATGAGATCAGAGATAGACAACTGATCAAAAGTCAGCCCTGATGAGGCTAGCCAATGACCAGTTAAGTAACCTGGTAGACTCGTTCTTTCTCACTGAGGCAGTGTGTACTTACTGCTGATGGTGAGCCAGGCAACTCAAATCCTCTAAGACTCAGTGACAGCAGGAGTAGTAGAGGAACAGCTGGAAAGAACAGTCACTTGGAACAGGGAATAATGGATACAGTCCCTGAAGACACAAACTGACCAGATTTTTAGAACGTCACAGTGTCTTGAACCATGTTTAAGTCTCCACAAGCCCTGCTGAATGTGGTTGAGTTTCCTGTCTTCCACACATCCCCTTGTATCCCACACTTTCTCTTTTTTTTGTTTTTTCTTTCTAGATGTTCAAAAATTTCTTTTTTTCATTATCATTTCCTTTCTGTTTTAAGAACTTCCTATGTCATTCTTTTAATGTAGGTCTTCTGGTGATAGATTGTCTTAGTCTTCCTTTATTAGGATGTCTTTATTTCCCTTCCTTCCTGAAGGATAAATTCACAGACAGAGGTGACAATTCTATTTTTATCAGGACTTGAAAAATGTTGTGTTACTTTCTTCTGGCCCTGTGGTTTCTGATGAGAAATCCTCCGTCATTCCATTTTTCTACCTCTAGGTAAGGTGGTATATGTATATATATATACATATATATATATTTAAATTGATTTCAAAATTTGTTCTGTCTTTAGTTTTGTCATTTGATTATGATGTGCTTTGGCATAGATTTCTTTGGGTTTATCCCATTGGAGTTTGATAGCTTCTTGATTCCATAGGCTTATGTCTTTCATCAAATTTAGGAAATTTTCAGTCACTATTTTTTCAAGTACTTGTTTTAGCCTCATCCTTTTCTTCTCTCCTGGAACTCTGATGACATGAATGTTAGATCTTTTAATTTCTGAGGTCTCTGAGGTGGTGGTGGTGGTGGTTGTTGTTGTTGTTCTTCTCTTCTCCCTCCTCCGTCTCCTTCTTCTTTTCTATTTATTTTCTCTCTTTTGATCAGATGGGGTGATTTCTGTTGTTTTAGCTTCAGGTTCACTGATTCTTTCTTTTGTCTTTTTTCTGTTGTCAAGCCCATCCATTGAATTTTTTATGCTGGTTATTGTATTTTTCAGTTCTAAAATTTTCATTTTATTCTTCTTTAGGGACCTTGTTATTGCTGAATAGTGGTGAAAATTCCCCACTTGGCCTCCTCTGACACCATTCTGGTAGGAAGGAAGAGGGTACCTCATTATCACTGGTTGGAGATGAAGGTCTAAGATCCCCATGTGACCTTCTCTGATACTACTCAGGTGGGGGTGGGGTAGGGCTACCTAATTATAGCTGGGCCAGGATGGAAGTCTGGTTACTCAACTTGTGCTGATGGGGTTGATATTGGCCTCCCCCCACCCCCACCATGATGCTGGATTTGTTGATGTTGGATTTGTTTCCATGGCATAGGGTGATTTTTGTCTAATTATTTCTGCCTTACTAGATTACATCTTCTCTGGTCATTTGTCTAGAAAGAGTAGGCTTTTTGAGAGGATTTTTTTTTTTTTTATCTGCTTCTGTTTGTGTTTCTGGGTTGCTGCCTCTCTTGCCTCTAGTTCAGGATATACAAAACTAACAGAGAACTCAAGGAATTTACTGCCACATTGTTCCTAGGGCACTAAATTCCCTATTTGGTCTCTCTTCTTCTCTTGACCTTTTAAAATACTCTTATGTTTGTTCTATATATAATA